CAGTAGTGTGTTGTCAGTGAAGGCAAACATGGGTATATGGGTGGATAGATGGGTGAACAGGCTGAAGTATTAGGTATGTCTATGCAGCAGGGAGTGTACCCAAGACCATGTATAGGGTTGGTGGACAATGTTCCTATAAGTGTATTTGTATGATCTGTAAGAATTCCCAGGGGTATAGTAGAGCTATCAAGGGACAAGGTTGCAGTCACTTCTTGGTCACAGCCTGCCACTCAGAGGGACCGAGTAGTTGAACCGGTGGGCTCAGGACCATTGTCGCAGGGGACATCAAGGTCAAGTGGCATATCATACTACACAAAAGACTGTTCCATCTCCTACTGTGGCGAGTAGTGACTGGGATCTTAAAAGCTTGCAAACAGCCATCTAGATACAACGATGGGTCTCTCCTCGTCCAGAGCAAAGGAAAATGAATAAAACCAAAGATTCATGGAAAGAATTAGTCCTAGCGACTGGTACACCATGTGATCCACAGCCTATACGACTATGAGACTAGGAAATCTTGGCTAGAGAGGGAGAACAATGTGGAACAAAACTCAAAATCATTTGGGGAAAAAAGGGGGGGGGGCATGTAGACCAGGTTTGGTGGTCTGAAAGAGTCTGGTGGAACCACTGAAACTATGGCCCCTAAGACAAAAGACAGGCACATGAGTTGAACATTTACCTGAGGTAGATACATGCCTTGGAGAGAACAATCATGGGAGAAAGAAGGGCTGTGTATGCACAGGCAGACAGCTCAGGGGGCAGGAGTGCATGGAGGGAAGGACACAGGGAAGAGGTAACTCTGGGGAGGAAGTGGGAGGGGAGCTGTTGCATCGGGTCAATTGTAGTCAGTGTCACGAGACAAAGTGTATGTGAACTGCTGTATAGAAAGTGAATTTGTTCTGTAAATTTTCACCCAAATCACAATAACAAAAAAAAAAAGAGCTTTTTTTTTTTTTTTTGATGAAGTTAAAAAAAAAAAATTTGTACACTGTGGTAGTTAACGTTGTGTGTCAACTTGGCTGGGCCTGGTTGAGTGGCTGTGCAGCTGGTGGTAGTTATTCCCCATGATGAAACTGGCAATTAGCTCCATGGTGGGATCTACCACAAGCAGTTGAGTAGCTGCTCTAGGGATGTGGTCTGCTTCCCATATATAAGCAGCAGCTTTGAGAAAGGTCTCCAGCTTATGGCACACTTGAACCCTACAGGTAGCCAAGTCATTGTTCAGCAGCCTGCCATGCTCTGCCGATCTTGGGACTTTAAATGGACTTGCATTAGTGGCCTGCTGTGTGGTTTGGTAACCTTCGGCTTGTCAGCCTCAGCAGCCAGTAGCTGCCTGAGTAAAAAGATGCCTCTAACTCCAGCGGGCCAGGAGCAAGAGGCAAAGCTGAAGCCCAAGGTCAAGGGGCTTTCACACAGTCCTGAGAGCCTGGTACTTGGAACGTGGACTTCTAGCCTCCACCAACTTTAAGAACGTAACTGTTCGGTAAAGCCATCCTATTTGTGGTATCTTCTGTTAGAGCAACACTAGATAACCAGAATATACACTTCAAAGAAAAGTAGTAAGAATGAAAGGAGTGTCGGTGTGTCCTTCACCTGAGAGAAAGGACATAAAGCACCACCCACACCATAACTCGTGTACACTCCTCAGGGATACCCGCTTCCTCCTCTCCATAGGGAAACGGGTAATTCAGAACAGCGGTCAGCACTGCTTAGCTCTTCTCTTGAGTTTTGCCACATGTGGATAATCCTAAGCAATAGTTTGTTTTGGTCCATTTTTGAACTTGACATTAATGGAACCATATGGAACATATTCTTCAAATTGGAGTTTTTCATTCAACATTTTTTTTTTTTTTTTTAGGATTTGGGTGAAGATTTACAGAGTAAATTCACTTTTCATACAGCAGTTCACATATACTTTGTCTCATGTCAT